AAATTATTCAAAAGCTATTACTTTTCCGCACACACCTAGTGTGTAAGGTAAAGTATTGGAATCGGTCGAAAAATTAACACCCATAAAAAATGTGTTTTCTGGTTGTTTTTGGGGCCAGGGAACACGAATCTAGCGTTTTTTCGATGTCCGAATGTATGTGCGTGGTACGCTGTACGCTGTACGCTGTACGCAAAAATTTGTTAACACGATAACTTTCAAACAAGAAAAGTAATTCAAAATCTGACTTCACAGGATGATTGGGGGTGCCGAGGAATAGAAACCATTAGATTTTGACCGACTTTGGTTGACAGAGTGAAGTGTCATGTCTGGTGTGATGCCCATGTCCATCCATGGGAAAAATTCAATTTTTCTTCCAAAAGTGATATTTAATGTATACTTAAACACTCAAAAATATGTATTGGGGGGTTTTTGGGTACGAGAAAACCGAATATGACGTTAGTTTTGCGATACAATCAACTTTCGAAACACTTTTCATACAAAAAATTCAAAAAATTTGGATTTTTGTATGGAAGCCATGCCTGTATGATATCGTAGTGAGCTGAAACTTTGCACAGGTTATTTTTATCACACATAAATACTATTCCGAGAGTTTGAAGACATTTCAACGAATATTAGGAGCACCTCCCGAACAATATTTTGGATTTTTCGCTCTAAAACAAAATTTTGTATGGGAAGTACCCTTAATATGCATTGAAATTTCTTCAAACTTTCAGAATGTTAACTTTTTGTGAAAAAAATAACCTCTGCAAATTTTCACATGATTACGATATCATATAGGCATGGCTCCGATACAAAAATTCCTATCTTTAGTAGTTTTTGTAAGAAAAGTGCTTCGAAAATTATTTTTATCTAAAACTAATGTCAGATTTAGTTTTCTTTCATGTCGTGGATCACAGTGCGGAAAAGTTCATCTTACGGATGTAAGACATTTTATTTTTTTTTGTAGAGAAAGATTTGAGCAACACGAAGCAAACAAAAAATATGGAAGAAGTTGAAATAATTTTCGAAAAAATCGCAGAATATTGGGCCATGTGTGAAAAAATCGATCCAACGACCAACCGATGGGCCTCATGTCGTCGAATTTTTTTTTTTTTTGGGATGTTTAAACTGGCCTATCTTATGGGAAATTTTGCGTAGAACACGATAAAAGTAAGAAAAATAGGGGTATTTTTGTCGTTATATTTTTCTGAATAATAAGTTTGACACTTCATTCCAATGAAATGACAATTATTAAATAAAAATTCAAATGTTAAGTAAAGTGTGTACTCAACAACATGAACGTTAAATTCATAAATTGTTTTCCAATACATTATTTGGACATATTATAGAAAATTTAATAGGTTATATCAGTGTTAACAAAGTTTCATCACAGCGGACGGCAGCTCGCACGAGCGATCCGGTTCTATCAACTACAAAATTAAAAACACGTGCTTCATGGGAAATGGAAGCAAAGTCATTGAGACACTTACAAAATACACCGTTTTTGAAATCGAAGATCCAAAATAATCTGAATACATCAAATAAGATGTCATCGGCCAAAAAAGCAAGCCGCCATCGATTTGATCGGTTCAGCAAAATTCAACAAAAAAATTGAAAAGGTCAAAGCAACGAGTCAATGAGTCACAGTCACTGTTTTCAAATTTGGAAAAGAAAATCAGCGAAATTCCGTATTCCGATTCAGTTTAGTCGCTGAACATAGCTTGACTAATTTTTTTGATTTTTATTATGGAAATAAATTATATCAGAAAAATATGGAAGCTAATATCGTAAAGCTTGACTAATTTTCTTGAACTTTTTTATGGAGTAGTTCGTCTCCACGAAACCACCAGATAAACCAGACACTATTAGAAGAAGGTGAATAACAACATTTGTCGCGAATCGGTCAATGTATTGTACCAAAAAAACATCAAAAATTGAGTCTGTCGGATGATACCCACTAAACCCAACTGGGGTGAATTTTGCCAAATAATAACACATTATGTTTTCCAAACTGTACAAATTGCTTTATTAATAATTCAACTGAATCACATTCAAAATGACTTTTTTGTTTTCGTAAAAAATCGTAAATCTTCGTCTTCATCAGCAAATAATGATAGCGAATTGATAAGTGTATTGTTTATATCGCAGCGTAGCATCGATTGTACATTAAACCTAAAATTTGTATAAATTTTAAAACTTGTTATTTTCAAATTCAATTTTAAATGCCATGATATCAATGTTAGGTAAGAATATGCCGTTGTTGCGTATCTCAGATGCCAATAGTTTATATTTGTGCGATTCGGTTTTGCAATTTTCCCAATTTTCGGTGATTATCGGAATCGTCTTAAATCCAAGCAATTTCATTTGATCTATTTTCAGTTGGAAAAGTCCATAAAATTGATTATTTTTTTGGTCAATGTCTTTTCTTTGCAAACATGGTAGAATTGCGACTGCTTCGACATCTGAATCATTTTCAAATAAACTCTTTGCTTCTAAAATACGTCCATGTGAATGTACATTGAGAACATTTGTCGATATCTTCAATCGTTTATTATAGCCAAAAACCACATATGGATATCGAATGTGAGGAATTGGTCGGATTGATATGCAGTTCACTCCACTTGTCTGTAGCACATGACTTATGTCATCGGTTAACTTTGTACTAGAACCACCAAATTTTGTCATCATTTGAGCGCATTCAGTTACAGATAATTTATTGCCACTATACGTATTGGCTAAATTAATCTTCGCATAAGAGTCAATTAGCAAGAGTTGACGTTCAATTTTTTTGTCAGCCGTACTTGTTATTGTTTTTGTGTCGAGTGCCCAGTTAATTAGCTTTTCATCGACAATGCCAAATATTGCCAAATATAAAATACACTGTAAATTCGATTCCAAATATGAAATATCCGCCGAAGAACGCGCAAAGAGTGATTTGAGTAAGTGATTTTGTGCTGCATCACAAAACTTAATTTCAAATGAATCTTCACTTCGGCAATTTCGTGTTGAAATTACAAGCAAAGCACGTTCAATCTCTTTGATTCGCAGCGATTGAATTTTTTTGGAAAATCTCTCGGTAATCACTCTGATAAGAGATGTGTTGAAAACGCACTGTTTAACGCCTAATTGAATGATATGCGTCAGAGTAATATACTCGGCCTCCTTAGCAAATGGCACTAGTTTATCTTGCAAATTGTGCAATTCCGCGACATGATCGATGGTTGAAAACTTTCGAATTGCCTTTAAAATTCCAGCCACTGCCAATTCTTCTTGTTTTCGCAGATCAAATGTGTTCATTAAATAATTAAAAACCCCCTTCACTAAATTGGTGTCTATGCGATCAACATTGCCTTTAAATAATGCTAAACAATTAATCGACACTTCATCAAATGTTAATTCATCCATATTTTTATGCAGTCTTTCAGTCACGGCCGGCACTTCTGCAGGAATTAAATTTCGCTTTGATCCGGTCACATACGATATTACTTGTAATGCATGCGCCTTTTTGAGATCAAGAAAACGACGGAAAAAATCACTAATCATTTCTTCCATAAATGGAAAATCCCATCCAAAACTTATGACATTCCATAAATCCAATGCAAATAACTGCTCATCGATAGACCACGTTTTATATTGTTCAAAACATTGATTATTTAGTGGACCTAGTAATTGGTGTGCAAACCGTGTATCATATTTATGTTCAATGTTTATAACTCGTGCAGCTTGCATTAGATCAACGATCGTTTTATTTTCCGCTAGAACTGTGAATTGTTTGGGTGAAAGCCGATATTCCGTGTTTTGTGGATTGTACAAAATACATCCATCGGTTTTACGTAATATTTTTCTAATGTAATTATTTTGACTGTATTTTATTACTTCTTTTCGGGATTCAAAACGATATGAACGGATGATAGTGTGTGAATATCGACTGAGGCCGATTTTCAATTTGTTGAAATACGATTGGAACAATGACATCTTTTATCTATTATTTTGTTTATTTAAATACATAATTTAGTCTTTAATTCTTATGCTTATCTCCCAATGATTTCACTTAAATAGTCAGAATAATAAACATGGTATAGGTTTGAATTTCACAACGAAGAATTTATTTACAACATGCTTAATATTGAGTTTGACAGATATCGAATGAGAAATGTCAAAAATATGGAATGAGAAATGTCACCCACTTGATACTTCACGAGATTTCGACGTTAAGTAACCAAACGGTTATCATGTTTTAAAAAAAAGGGTAATGAAAAATCTAACACTTTTTTAAAATTTAGGAAACATTTTTAAAAATGGAAAAATCTCTTTTTTTCAAACTAATTACCGCACAATATCAACCGAAAAAAAAATGTCGTTAGTTGTATTGGGACACAAAGAATTTGAGTGAAAATGCACACAAATAAAAGAATGTATGTCTAGATGTATGTGTAATTGGAACATTACTTTGAATTTTGAATTCATGCAGAAAGACGTTTATATTTTGTCCATAATCGTTTTAAGATCTCGTTCACTGAGATTCGATATAAATCATAAAAAAAGTATGGCTCTTATGCACATATTATCAGCGGAACATTTCGCGAAATTGCACGAATCTAAAAAATAAAACAAAAATTTCATTGCGACGGGATCTATTAGGCGCATGTGCCATGAAAATGGACTTCCAAATAAAATGCATTACGTTATTTGTTTTGGTCAAAACAAATTCGGTTACAACAAATTATTCATTTATTAAATATTCAACAAGTAATTGATAATTTTAAAATAGACTTTGTTTTTTTTATACAAAAATTTCCGCAAAATATAAGAATTCTTCAAATTTGGATGGATTTATATAATTTTTCCGCATCTTCAAATTGTACCAGATCGTTACATTTTGTCTCATCTCACTAAGTATGCGAAGTACAATTTTCGACTGGTATTTTATCTTCATATGTTTTTCGGAGTTTTTTTTCTACATACGTACATATATGTGATACATAATGATGTTCATCTTTGTTTTACACACATGCATTGATCTCCCCACTCTTTCCAAACAGCCTCAAAGCACAAATGTCAAAACAGCTGTTAAGAGGATTTTTTTTTGTAAGACGCTAGTATCATAGCCGGTAAACTCTCATCTCCAGTCATTCACATTTTAATAAATTTGTTTTAGTGAATTTGTGTTTTTTTTATATCAAAATACGTATAAAAATCGAAAAAGAAACAACAACAACCAAAAATGGATTATTACGAGGTGGATCACGTAGATCAAAGAATCGATAATATACCTGATTATGAGATGTACGAACCGTCAACAGCTGAAGTGTGGGCGACCTGTGCATGGCCATCAATAGAACAAATTTTAAAATATTGTTTGCCATTTATATTTTGGAATATTGCATTTCGAATAACAACACAAACTTGCAAGTTTTATTTAATTAAAAAAAAAATCACAATAACAAATAATTGTAATCGAATTTTTTTTTATAGTTCACATACCACAGCCTCTTCAGCACATTTCATCAATAATTTGTGGTTTATCATTATCATATACAACACTTGGCGTAGACTTTTCATACAGTTTGATCTTTACATTAGTTGAGTACATTGTGTTGTTGTCCATTCCGTTTGTGAAACAAAAGAAGTATGGCATAATCTTGACAATATTTTGTTTGGCCGTTTTAATTTCGGGGTTTGTATGATTGATTCCATAAAGATTTGCGATAAAATTTAACAGTTTCTTCTTAAAAACCATAGTGAAATATTGGATACGGCAGTTTTAACGTGGCATAGAATGCGTGGCACCCAAATGATTGCTGCGGTGAAGATAATTTCTATTGGTTTTGACATTGATCGAAAGTTGATAAGATATTCGCCGAATTTCTTGGAATTTTGGGGCTATATTCTATGCCCTGGAAATGTGATAATGGGCCCATGGTGTGCCTATAACGATTATTTGAATATTTTCAATCGTTCCAAATGGGTAAGTTATTTTGAATGACAATTTTTAACTAGTCTTTACGTTTTAAAATTTACCATTATTTTATTTATCTCTCATCAGTCATACACTTGGATATTTCAAGTAATTTTGAATGGAGTGATAGCCATATTTTTCTTACTAGCTTCAAACTGTTTCATCGATGCATATGTTCCAGATTTTCATTCGGCGTAAGAGGCTCGAAGTCATTTCATTATTAAACTTTTATTAAATAAATACAATTTTTACCATTCGTTTAGCTGGGGTGGCGCTTATAAAGGAGCATTATCATTTCGATGTAGTCACTATTTCGTCTGTTTTCTGTCGCACTGTACAATGTTGATGGCCGGTTTGGGTACAACACGCCAGAAGCAAAATCGATTTTTGGGCTACTCAATTACGAGGCCATGGCTCATCGAATTGCCACGATCTTTGGTCGATGTTGTCGTTTCATGGAATCTCTCAATGCACTATTGGCTGAAGACCTGTAAGTGTTCTGCTTTCATTTATGTTTGAGACAATTATTTAAATCTGTTTTTTTTTTCAGACGTTTTCTTGCAATTGATACCGCATGGACGTTTCAAAGCAGTCATACTTACGTACATTATATCATCACTACTTCATGGAGTAAATATTCAATTATCGGCTGTACTGTTAACACTCGGCTTTGCTACATATGCAGAGCACACCATTCGCCATAAGGTGGCCGACATTTTTGATGCATGTGTCTTGGCCAATTCGTGTACCGATTGTACACATCGTCATAATAATCGGAACGTATTGGTCATTGGATTTAATCTCAGCTTTCGCGTATTGGGAATGTTACATTTGGCCTATTTGGGCATTTTATTGGACGGTTTCGTTGATAAACCCGAAATTGGAGCATCAATAAAAACTGTTCATGAACGTTGGAGTAATTTGGATTATTTGAGCCATTGGATAATTCTCGTGACATTCGGCCTCGGTGCCATCATTTGAAATATAATAATCATTACATTTTAACCGTCATTATAGTGCTGTGATCGATATCAACTCACCAATTTTCATCAACCATATTTTAATTTTTAATTTGAATTAAGATTTAAAATAATCTCAACAATTGATAAATGCACATTATTCAAGAAAAAAGAATCAAACTATGGAATGCTACATGGAATTTTATATACATAAAAAGTTTTAGTTATTTTTCATGATTTCATCAATTTGGAATAAAGATAAATAAACAATTTTTTTATGCAAAAACATAAATCAAAGCCTATTCACTAGACTATCCCAGAAAAATTGGAAATGTTGAGGGGTCCAACCGGTTTTCGAAACAGACGAATTTTCAAATAAAAAAGTTCAACAAGATTTATCAAAATTTTGGAACATCCAAAAATGGAACTCAAATAAAATTCATGTAAAACATTGATTTATTTTATGTGTATGTTCACTGTTGTTTATAAGCGCTATTGTGTATATTAGTATGATTGAATACAGAATACGTTTACCAAAAAATGGTGATATTCTCACGGCATCCGAAGCTTCTAGCGTGAGAGGGAGCAGAAATTGGAACACTTCCTTCTCACCTGGAAATCAAAGAATCAATCATTAAAATGAATTCAAAGTGCGAATTGATTGTTTCGACTATACCCATTTCACGAGCACGAACGAGGGGAGTCCTATTTTCTCTATCTTTTGCATTAAGATTAGCCCCATGATTGATGAGAAGCTTGACAATATCCATATTACCTGAAAATCAAAAAATCAAATATTATATACTTTAGTTAGACTCGTAAGTTTGCACTATTACCCCAATCAGCAGCTAAATGTAGCGGCGTATTTTTATAAATAGTTTCTGCATTAACACTAGCACCATGATTGAGAAGAAGTTCAGCCAAATCCCTCTCACCTAGAAAGCAAGGAATCAAACATTAAAAAGAATTCATATACTGTAGTTAGACTATATTATACGACTTACCACTCTCTACAGCTTCGTGTAGCGGCGTCCATTTTCTGTTATTTATAGTATTAACATCAGCACCTTGATTGATGAGAGTTTGGACTACATAATATCTGTCTGCACTGTCATAAGCTTGACAGAAAAGATAATATTAAAAATAATAATTCACCGCCAAAAACTAGCTGCCTTCATTTAATTCATAATAAGTAATCTTGGCAGGGAGAAGGTATAGCAGCACCCCATCGGAAATTGCGTTTTTACGCCGAAATAGATAAAGTGTCCTAAACTATATACTAATCCGCACATTCTACTTAAATAACAGCATGGTTGGACACTTTATCTATTTCGGTGTAAAACATCCGTTTTCAATGCAGAGTCGCTGCTAAATTTTCTATTGTGTTTAGACTATTACATCTTTTTACAGCTAAATGGAGAGCCGTTTCATTATCTATATCCCTTGCACTAACATTGGCCCCATGATTGATAAGAAGTTCGACCACTTTATGACCTGGAATACAAAGAATCAAACAATAAAAGGAATTCATAGTTTTACTCTTCATAGATTGTATTACCATAATATGCAGCTACATGTAGCGGCGTTTGATTATTTGTATCTTCTGCACTAACGTTAGCCCCATGATTGATAAGTAGTTCAGCCACATCCTCGATATATTTTACAGCGTAGTGAAGCGGCGTTTGTTTATCTTCTTCTTTTTCTGCATTATTCGGCGTTTATTTATAACCTGGAAAGCAATAAAAGAAAGTTGAAAGGAGTTCAATTGAAGAGAAAAGAAGACACAAATTTCTTTACTTCCAAAAACTTTTTTTTTATACACTGCCGCCAGAAAGTTTGGGTACGATTAAAAATTTTCATACAAATGACTGTTTTTCACACGTGTCGCGGACCAGGAAGGAGTCATTTCCGATAGATGGTCTATTCAGACAAAATGTAAATCATAGTGTCGACTACATTTCATCTGAAGACATCAACTCTCAGAAGTGATTCCATAATAAAATGTTATTGATTGAAAGCGCAGATACTCAGAAAAATCCATTCTTTCATATAAAAAAAAAACATTTTTCAGGTGATTGCAATATTGAATACCAAAAAAACTATGAAGGAGTCATTTCCATAGCTTCTGAGCAGGGGTCCGAGGGGTTGGATGACCTCCCCCCGGAGTAAAGATTTGGGAATTACCGCTTTAAAAAATTGAGAGAAATATTCTTTCGATTTGCTAGTGATTTTGGCGAGAAAAAGTGAAGACCTTTTCTGAAGTGGGAGAAAATATTAAATTTTGCTAGGGTTTTTGTTGGCGCAGAGAAATCTTTCAATTTGCTAGTGTTTTTGAGCCAAATGCTCTGAGACACCCCCCCTAGGAAGGGAAATTCGAAATCACCTCCCTTGGATCATCAACTTCAGAAGCTATGGTCATTTCGGACAGTTATTGTCTTCGTCTGAATAGACTCTCTATCGGAAATGGCTCATTCATGATCTGCGACACATGTGAAAAACGGCACTTTGTATGAATATCGTTAATCATACCTAAACTTTCTGACGGCAGCAAGGAGAGAGGAACCAATGCTAGTTTTTCTAGTTTATAGCTAATTTACTAGCTTATTGCTTGAATAATCTAATAATGCTAATATTCCTTTATGAAATTGCTAGTTTTCTAGTTTTTTGTTCTGTCAAATGACAATCAAATGATTGTACTGACACAATGAAGTATTTTGACGTTTTGTTGTTCATAGATATTTTTATGTGTTTTGAATAATTATACCCTTATAATAGCAAAAATTAGTTTAATTATTTTTTTTTAACACAAAATCGTGCATAAAGTACTTGTTTCTTTCAATAGTCTCTTTCAAAAGTTTTACTTGAAATATAAAAAACTAGCTAATGGTTTCCGTCCCCTAGGACGGCGGTGTAGATCTTAAAAAATTTCTGTCGACGAGATGGAGATTTTCCGAGCTTACAGTGTCTGTGCTCATGTACCATATGCATCATAAACATTGGCACAAATTGAGACTTTCGCCATTTGAACAACAAACACACATTAATAAGTTCTTTTTTATTGGTATAAACCTTTATTCATAGGCTATCGAATAGCACATTCACTTTACACTTAATGGACCTTTGTCTTCAATTTTTCTCAGTATGCGTTGAACCTTCAAAATCATGCTCTGGACGACCAATATGTCGATTTCTTTCAACTTTCTCTCAATCCATCCAACCAATTGTTACTCGTTTCAAGTATTTTGGACCTTCGTCTATAACATACATCCAAAAACAGACTAGAAATAATTAATTTGGTGTCTTTTTGTGAAGTTTAAAAGATGGTCCTTTTTTCATGGAAATGCCATTTTTTAAGAAGTGAGCCATTATTGTGTATTTTTCTGCTTGCAAAACACAATTTTGTCCTTAATCAGATAGTTCTCAACGAATCCTATCGATTTCAACAATAATTGGTTTTTAATGGAGCAAGTAATGGAGGTTTAACCTTACATTTCAGCACTAAATTTTCGAATAATGGCTCTAAAATACCTTCCTAAGAAGATCCTACCATACAAACACCCCTTTATCAAAGTTTGGTTTGTCGACGTCTTTAGCCTTATATAGTAGTGCCCTAACATAATCAATGCAAAAGAAACCACTTGCACTTGATTCGTGGTTTGATTTGGCGATGAATGTGTCACTGTCCAAAATGATGAATTTTTCAGTGCAACATGCTATGAGATGAAGTAAACATCCAATATTCGCCACTATTTGGAATTTTTTCGTAGCTTATTTTGCTGATTCTTAATGATCGTGTCTAAATCTATTATTTTGGTTCAGATTTGGATGTGTTGTAACCATAAGAATCACCAAAAATGAATTTTTGCTTGACCAACCCGGTTTTCGGTACTTGATGAAAATTTTGAAGGGTTTGAGCATTTAAATTGGGAATACGACCGTACTTTTTGCATTCTCTAGAATCCTCATCTTCACACTAAGTCAATAAAACACGATACATGGTTCGAAGACAGATTGGATCATCTTTAGACACATGCAGAATTTCCTTGGGGAATTTATCTGTTCGCGAATATATATTATTCGATGGTACATATACTATGCATATTTCACGAATAATGCATTGAATGTACGTATTTTGCGAATATTCGCAGTGAATATACGCAAAATATACGCAATATTCACAGTGTTTTGATTGAGATAAAAACCCCTAGAGAATTTCGTTTGTACTTAGCTGTCCAAAGCAGTTTGCGACAGACTTTCGTAAATCCACTTTGTACGCCATCGCGAATGAATGTATTACGTCGGATTGAGTTTGACAGTAGTCTCGAGGTACCGATAAATGCACTAAGTGCGTTGGTTAACATTTTTGTGTTTGTTATTGCGCTCTAATAAATGTCTCAGTTTGTGCCAATGTTTATGATTCATATGTTATGTTCATAAATGAATTGAAATGACCAGTGATTAAGTGTAAACAAAATATCAAAATTTTTATGAATTTTCATGCGATCACGAGATACACTGATGAGAATGCGAGATCAAATATCTTAAAATATAATTTCGAAGTTCATTCTCGCTTGGAGCTTTGATTCCAACTTTTTCAATTGGCAATATGTTTTGGCGAATAAATTCAACCACTTAAAAATAAATCTGAATTGTCGTGAAAACTTTACTTAGTCGTTTTCTTGATAAAATACCGTTACGAAATTGGTTTGTATGAGAAATATCAAGCCGGTTTATTTCACTGCTGGATATTTAACGCAACGGCACTTGCTCTATTTTCATTTCTCTCACTCACTTGTTCTTTTGCACATATAAGATCTATCATTTGGATTGATAAGAAACGATGTCTCCAGGCTGTATGACATCACCGTTTATTCATTTGTGAAACATTAGTCACAAAATCTTTTAACAAAAATCGATGTTTCATACAAAAAATGCGTGGAAATACGTTCGGGATCGTTAAAAAATATTTTTGCTTTCTAATAGTGAAAAACTCTAGATAATGGAAATATAATTTACATACTTATTTTATAAAAGTTCAAAATTACCATTTAGAAGAGCAAGAAATAGTTGTTTGTTCACATCAGAATGCTGTGCACGCACTTTTAGACACACACACATTAAAACAATTATACATGCCACTTTCATTGTTACAAAAGAGGTTTCGATTAATTATTTTTTATAAATTATTTCGTAAAATTGTACAAAAAAACACTTTTTTGTGGAGAATAATAAACAGTAATCGACAATTGTATATTTACTGCTCGACAGCATTTTACTGCTCAGGATGCTGATAAACTCCTGCGACTTTACATGTTATTTAAATTGCATGAGAGAGAAACATACATTGCGCCACATATTTCTTTCTCAAAATCACACAGATAGCACAAACATATGCCTTCGCATTGTGTGACTTTGCATATATTCCATTTGATACGTTTTGAGAAAAAATATGTGGCGCAAAATATATTATTTTTCTTTCGCGTATATGAACGAACGCACACGAAACACAAACCTGACAATTATTTTGTAAGGTTTCCGTCTAATATTTTGGCAGTATATTCGAAAATACGATTTCGAGAATAATATAAAAAACAAATACATCATCTTTCTTCTGATCAGATAAATAAGTTTTGAATAAAATAATTAAACTTCTTATTCTGATACAAATAAATATTTGCTTGAGTTTTTTTCTTTCTTTTTAGCGGGTCCTTTTCTTTTGGTCGTATGCATTTTTTTTTTGTTATTGCTAGATTTCTGCACCTCAATTCTCTCAGTAATTTTCAAAAAAAAATTGTGTACTGTTTACTGACTGTAAAAAGAGAGGCATTTCTGCAACGTTTTGAATGTTCAAATGTATATTAAGTTTTTATTCACAGAACACAGAAAAATTATCTATCATTTATTTTCGTTACAAAATTGATGTCAGAAATTTTGTATTTCACATTTTGGTTTCGTCATTTTGGCTCTTCACCTCGTCAGAGGTTTTTAATTTTATTTATATCTACAATGAAAAGCTGTTTTTCAAATTGTTTCGATTGATGAAAAACAACTTATTAATTAAAAACAATTTGAAATTCTACTGAAGTTAACGCATTAAGCGTCGAAGCAATTGTACTGTGACAATAAATATTTATAATACAAACAAGTGTTTTCTACTAAATAACGTTATCTTTTACATTTACACCATCGTATCGTACCTGTTTTTAAAGTACGGAATTTCTTGTTTAAGCCTGTAAATTTTGGAATTTTATTTTTGCAAAATAAAAAGGAACTTTCGTAAGTCTAACTTTTCCGCACTGTTTTCAAATTTCTTCCTTTGCCGATCGAATATTTATTTCCCGAAAGATATTGAACGTATACTGGCCAATTAATATATTAAAAGACGCTATTGACGTGTGTGCATAGCTTCTGAAGTTGACGATCCAAGGGTGGTAATTTCAAAATCTAAAGGGGTAACCCCAATGACCAATTTTTGATTTATTTTATGTATACTTGTATGCCTACAATCACTCTTCCATATAAAATACATTGTAGTATTGTATGCATATCGTATTCACATTTAGGTCCCATATAGGCATAAGCCTTCCATTTAAATACATTGTAAAAGCGTTACAATTTCCCCGTGCTGGTAGGCCTAAATGAGAGTGAAGTTTTTACTTTTTCTATTTGGTCTTTCACAAATTCAAAAATGCATTATTTGATTTCTTCCTTCCTAGGTGGGGGGAGGGGTTGTCTCGGAGCATTTGGCTCAAAAAACCCTAGATTTTTCTCTTCCCCAAAAAACCCTTGGGTCTTCACTTTTTTCGCCAAAATCACAAGCAAATCGAAAGAATATTTCTCTCAATTTGTAAAGCGGTAATTCCCAAATCTTTTCGGACCCCTGCTCAGAAGCTATGTGTGTGTGTGTGGAAAGGTAAAATCACCAAAAATGTGCATTTTTGTATGGATGCAATGACTGCATGATATCGCAATGACGTGAAACTTTGCAAAGACCATTTTTTTCACAAAAAAAATAACATTCTGAGAGTTTGAAGAACTTTCTAGAGAACTTTAATTTAAAAATAAGGGTACCTCCCATATAAAATTTTCGATTTTTGGCTAAAAAATTTGTATTGAAATTTCTTCAAACTTTTAGAATATTATTTTTATGAGTAAAAAAAAGCATGTGCAAAGTTTCACGTCATTAAAGTATCATACATGTATGGCTTCCAATTTGTTGTGATTTTTTCAAAGAAACTGTGTCAAAAATTGAATATATTTCAAAACAAACGCCAGATTTCATTTTCTCGTGCCAAAAAAACCCCCCAACACTCATTTCAAACTTTAGCTAACGTCTCTGGGGAAAGTTTTATCGAGTTAACAGATTTTTGCATACCATACCCCTTACGGGCATACCATGGATACACCGATGAACGAAAATCGCTCAAAAACAATACCACCCTATTCCTCGCACCTATTGATTTTGTGCGTACAGTGTACCACATCCTCACATTAACATGGCCAAAAAATGGTTGCTCTGTGCTTCTATAAACCCAAAATACGTAGAAAAACAATTTTTAGCGATTTCAACATTTTGGGGTGATTGCAATACACAGTGGGTGTGCGGAAAAGTAAAAAAAAAAAACAGAAATTTGAACTGAAATAAGTTTTTGTCATGCTGGAATATCGTTTTTCAAATATTCTTGCCTATAAAAAGAGTACAAAACTCATTGATAGCCATCAGTTTCCAGTTAAAGTTTGATACATTTACAGGGAATCAACATGAAAAATTCTCTTGGCATCATTTTGATTGCTGCAGCAGCAATTACAATCGCCAGGTAACTTTACTAATCATAATATAAAACTTTTAATTTTAATACTAATCAAAAAACCATTTCTTTTTTACATTTTTAGTGGAGGGTAAATTCTTTTTTTTTAATAAAATGATTAAATCATAATAAATAATATTTTCATTCGTCAAGGAATAATCCATCAACATCAAGATCCACAGCACCAAATACTACTAGAGAAACGTACGTTTTATAAATGTTTCTTAAATAATTCGATATTCAGACAAAAAATAATAAAAACGAATTATCTCTAATTGTCTTTATTAGCAAATCCACGTTTCCATACAATATCACAGCAGTCGATCCAGATGTGAACCAGCAATTATTGAAAGATTTCACAGGACCAAAGGCTGGATTTGTTCAAGTTGGCCCAAGCAAATATATTTTCCCCCAAACGTTTAAAAAGCATGCGGAGGGTTTATATAATCTCCAATCACGACCGGATGATATTTGGGTCGCATCCTTTCCACGATCTGGAACAACATTAATGCAAGAACTGGTTTGGTTGATTGCAAATGATTTCGATTACACAACTGCACAGAATAAATCCCTTGATGAACGATTTCCATTCTATGAGTAGGTTCATGAAGAACTCTGTTCCTATTAATGGATTAGTGTGATTACTAATCCGAACTCAACAGTTATAATTTTTACGAATGATTTATCTTGTTTTTTTCTTTTTTTTAGATTTTGTGTTTTAATCCATGATACCATAGCCGGACGTGAAGATGAGGACTCAAAGAAGTTTGCAGAAAAACTATTGAAAATGATTGGCGGTCCAGGCTATGAGCATATTTCAAATATTAAAACGAAACGTTTCATCAAAACACATTTACCATTTTCATTGATGCCACCAAGTGTTATGAAGAAAAAAGCCAAAGTTATTTATATGGCGCGAAATCCAAAAGATGTCATTGTCTCTTTTTATTATTTCCACCGTTTACATAGAACAATGCGGAACAGTGTTGATTTCAAACAATTTTGGGACTATTTTGAAAAGGATTTGGGTGAGTTTTTATTTTATTACAAAGACTTTTTTTGCTGTCTGCTCAGCGCTTATGTATTCGCAACATCTGAATAGCGTTATTGTCTTTTATTTATTTTCATTAATCGTCGATTAATGCTAAGAAAATTCTGTATTTATAGTGAATTGGTCACCATACTGGTCACATATCAAAGAAGGCTATGCACGTCGTAATGAACCAAATGTCTTGTTCTTGTATTATGAGGATGTAACTAAAGTAAGTTTATTATCATTTGATTCATAGCTTCTGACCAGGGGTCCGCGGGATTGGATTTGTGAAATTAGCCTTTTTTCCGAAGGGTTTTCGTAGCAAGAAATTCTTTCGATTTGCTAGGGATTTTTGTGCCAAATTCTCTAGTCTACATTTCATGTTTGTACTTTTTTCAGGATCTGCCATTGGCCATTCAAAAGGTGGCAAAATTCATCGGCAAAAAAACCATAACTGAAGAACAAGTTCAGAAATTGGCCGAACATTTAAATATTGAAAATTTCCGAAAAAATACAGCGGTTAATCAACAAAACCTAAGTAAAACGGACAATTCATTCATCCGAAGTGGTAAATCAACATTAAAAGGGTGGCCAAAGGAATACACAGATGAAATAATTAGTCGGGTGGAAATGTGGATCGAAAAGAATCTTGCAGACACCACATTACGATTTCCACAATAAACCGAATCATGTTACTATCTTTTTTGTATTTGTAAAAAAACTGCGGGTTTTAATGGTGGTGAGACCGTTTGTGATCATCCATACCTTTCCCCTGGTCGACAATTTTTATTTTGAAATAAATAAAGGCAACTAGTTTTTGACGGTGTATTATTATATTTTTGTTCAATATTTCAGTGCCGAAAATCCTTGAACAGAACTCTGCTTGAATTTCGAACGCATCTAACATTTAATTTTATTGATATTAGTAAATGAAAGCCAATTCGGTCTGGTTTGAGTTGATATTTTATTAGAATATACCGACGTTTCGAATCATTTGTGATTCTTCTTCAGGGTTTTTCAATGAATATCTACTATGTCAAAAATTTTCTGATTAATTATGTTCATTCAAACAATTTTTTTGGCAAAACAAAAATATAAAAAGAATAAACCAATCAATGAGCTAAACTGATAAATTCAGGAAAATTAACAACTGACATACGCTGCATTGCAAAAAAAAATGCTATTTAATTTTATTGTTTTAAAATCAGTACTGAGATGTAAAATATGCACACAACGAAATCAATATAAATTTTTAGACACCACAGTGTCAACATTTTGGATTTATACAAAACATATCATCTATATTTCTCGACGTATCTTGAATTTACTGATTTTTCTTACTGTTATTTATGATTTTTCAAATATCAATGAAACAATAGCGTATTTATTGTGAAAAAATAACTTACAACAACCACAAACAGTGTTTACTCTTTTTGTTTTTGTTCAGATCAAAACAAACTTTCTTCGATACGTTTCGAGTTTATTTTATTAAAAAATTGAAATTGAATGCACAAGAAACAATTACTTAAAATACCTGATGAATTTTCACATCGAATTGAGTATTTCAAATGAATTTGTACTTCAAAAATCGATGAGATAAATTCTTTTTATTGTTTATCATTTCATGCAAAATTGCGTGCAATAGGAACAAGTGGTGGTGGTTCAGTTGCTGAAAATATGATTGGTTTATGTGCAGTGCCTCGACTTTTCGGGAAAAATGCCAACGGTGGTGGTTCACTTCTGTTAACAATTTCCACCGTAGATGATCTTGATAAAATTTGTTCTGACTGAGCATCACCAATTATTTCAGTGCTCGTATATTCGGATTCATCGCCTATGTAATTCTTTTGCGTATCTTTTATCGGGGTCGATTTATTTTTTCGATTCGAGTTCGATTTTATCACACTAAAATGTCGGTCATCTGTATGCGATTTTTCCGAAAATGTTGTAAAATGCACTTGAGATGCTTCCATATAGGCATCGTTAATGCAATGGCTGCTCAACTGAAGAAATTGTAATGGATTTCGTAAATGAATTGGATCGGCGCACCACATTTGTGTTGCATTTTTAATAATAGTCTCGAGCATCTTCTGATGTTTATTCGGCGTTTTTATATTCACATTTTTCTGTTTATTACATTTCATATACGTTCTCGTTGCCAAATGAGTTATACATTCTGTAAAAATAACGAACATTTTTTTTATTATATTATATAAAAAGTTTATAGATTTGACCCATTTACCCAAGATATGCCAAATCGATTGTTGTTGCTGTGAACTGAGCAATGATCGTCGAAATTCATTGTTGAAATGTTGTACATAATTATAGACACCGTGCGGTAAACCAAATATCGACATTTTATCAGCACCAACCGACCGCAACCAATCGTGTTCGATGAATGTGCATAATTTTTCAATCGATTGATTCATTGCCGATTTTTCTTGTGCCCATTTTCGAATCGCTTGTAAACCGGGAGCCATATATTCAGCTGGTAATAATGGTAGCACCATTAACATTCGCAAACAACTTGATGTATTACTTCGACTTTTGTCCCAATGCAATCGTATGCATTTCATATACTTTAAAATGGCATCGGTGTAATAAAACCAGAAACCTTTTATTGAAGCATCCGGAAATGTGTATGCAAGTGCCAGCTGGGTTTCTGGATCAAAATCACTCATAATTGTATTTGGTGTTATATATGCCGATAGATTCTCTCGAATATAAGCAAAGATAACTGCATAAATTGCTTGTGTTTTAATCGCTGATATTGCATACAAAATTGGAATATGCTATAAAAGAAAGAAAACCATTTCAATTAAGAACGAAATCTAATTTAAAAGAAAAAATCCAGCAAACGTACGTAATAATTTTTCACCGCATGAACGATGAGCAAGTGATGTGTGAGCTGAATGTCTGGATCAGTGTTCATGGAATCATTGATGTGAATCTCTTCGATGTGGCCAATCGTTTCGATGGTTTTCATATGCATAAAAATGACGCACACACTGTCATCGTTGAGTGTAAGAGTTGTTTGATAAAATGGATCCCGTCGTGATCCACTGTGTATGCGAAATATATTCGTATTACTCAAGATATTGTCAAAATCTTGAACACTATGCGGTGCTTGTGGTAATTGTTTGTAACGTCGTGCTTTTCGCATTGCCGACTCGGCCGCACTGAATGTATAAAGTAGAGCGGCATCGGAATGTCGTTGACTTGCTTCCTCCCAGTAAATTGTTGGCAATTCTTTTGTTTCGGTAGCCGCACGATGGGTTAACACTTTTCGAAATTTATCCACAAGAATACGATCTGGTTCGGGTTCATGGTTGTGCTCACGACAAATTCGAATCCTTGTGTCTTCCACAGCACGTGCACATCGGCCCGGACATGATGTTTTATAACGCGAACATCGATAGTAACTGTAAACGAAACGAAAATGATTCATTTTGGATATTTAAGCATCATAAATGGGTTTGAACTCACATCGTATTATTTTTCTTGTAAGCCCACCAATACTTATAACCTTCTGAATACATAACCTTAGATGCAGCCATATGAAAAAGTAATATAATAATTTGGACGACGAGGAAAATAATCAAGGGAACAAAAGGTCAAAATGTAGCAAATGGCATTTTATCAATCATTTGGATGCCATTGAACATAGCATCTTTTCAATTCACACAAAATCACATCCATGAAGATGGTTTTTTTTTAATTGTACACGGTAAATTCCTGACTGCTTTAAGTGCTACTACGATTTTATTAAAATTACGAATTTACATTTAAACACCAATTTTTTTACTGGTTTTAACAATTGTTATTGAACCACAAGTTTGGCTTTTGTTTTGTGTGTATGTTTTTTTTTGGGTTGATTACAAACATTGTATTTTTTTGACAATAATATGTAGTCTAATGTGTCAACAGATGGCGCTCAATGTAAATCAATATTGCAGTCAAGATGTCTTTCTTGTACATATAACAAAGATGTGTTTCTTTTATTTTATTTATTTATTTATAAAAATTTTATATATGTACACTAAAATAGATTTTTACGTGCATTTTATACAATAATAATTTATCGTTTATCCAATATTATCGGCTACGTGTTGAATTGCTAAGCAATTGCACGACAAATGAACATTCGTCACATTCAATGTAAATTTCATCGTCGTCATTGTTTTCATTGCATCCATTTGATTTTGAGTCATCGGATGAATTTATTACGCTACTATCACAGTTGACCGATTCAATGCAATCGTCTGGCAGAACAAAGAAACTACCACATCGACATGGATAAATAAAATTCTGTGATTCTGAATCGAAATTAAAATCTTGTCGATAGACCTTTGCATGAACTATCGGTTCTGCGTCAAATTTACGCTGTTTCATTTCAGCATCGTATTTTTTCCGTTGTTCGGGCACTCTTAACATTTTCCATGCTTCATCGATTCGATAGAATTGCTCAATGTTTTGATTGCCGGATGCATTCTGTTTGTCGGGATGATGTTTCAATACCAAGTTTTGGTAGGATTTTTTTATCTCCTCAATTGAATCGGATGGATGACAATTTAATACTTCATAATAATTGATTGGCATCGATGGTGGTGGTGTCATGTTTCTGGAAAATAAACAACAAAAAATATGGTTTATTTCAGTAAATCGTGATTTTCATTGAGCACGTTGTATTGTGTCTATTTCAAAATGTTCATTACCTTAGTTTTCATGTATTTTTTGTGAACTTTTCCTTTTTTCTTTTCATTTACCAAACTTTTTAAAAACTTTTATTTCGTTGTCCCGTCGGTTTTATCTAAAAACAAAAAATGTTTCAATATAAAATTGAAAATCGACAATGTTTTGATTTTGATGGTGTTTCACGTTTACGTGAAATTGACACTTTGGTTTGTATTGTTTCGAATTCGAACTGTCAATTTCGAAAATGACCATCAGTTGTGCCAACGAATTTAATGTTCTTTGCTGGTATCAGGTCATTGCTATTCAACCATATAAACAATTGATTCAACAAAATAAATAGAACAACTCCCCTTTTAATTCATCGCCAGCCAACATAGTTCAATTCTTTTTTTCAACTTCATTCAAATGAAGTTTATTTCACTTTTAGTCACTTTAAATTTGATTTTTTCTGCCGAATGCAATAAATATCCGATTGTTATTAATACATGGGGATTTTCATCGGCTACCGCAAAGGGTAAACAGATAACGATCTGAGATATGATATTTGAAAAAAAAAATATTATAACTCAATTGGCTTAAATGTGATCCATTCAAATCAATTTTATAAAGAAAAAAAAAACAAATTTTTTTTGCTTCGTTTAAATTTCAGCATGGGAAATAATACAAAAGACTGATCGAACTGCAATCGATGCGATAGTGGACGGTTGTGCAATTTGCGAACGGGAACAATGTGATGGAACGGTTGGTTTTGGTGGTAGTCCCGATGAAAAATCAGACGTTGCACTCGACGCCTTAATAATAGATGGGTGAGTTCCATGTTTCGAACTTTTGAATTATTAATAATAACGAAGCAATATTATTCGGTAGGAAAACAATGAACATTGGTGCCGTTGGATCGATGCGAAATATAAAAAATGCTATTGGCGTTGCACGGCATGTCCTAGAAAATACGCAACATACATTTCTAGTCGGTGATGGTGCAACCGAATTTGCCGTACAGATGGGCTTCAAAAATGAATCATTAACCACACAACAGTCAAACGATATGTGGAAACAATGGAAATCAAATCGATGTCAACCGAATTTTTGGACGGTTCGCAATTTACAATTTTTTTTTTTTTTCAAATTACAAAAAATTTATGAATTTTTTTATTTGGAAAAAAATATTTTCAGAATGTACAGCCGGATTCGACGAGATTCTGTGGCCCATATGAACCAACTATGGCGAACAGTGTTTATGGTAATATGGGTAACAATGAATTTAATAGCCAAAATCATGATACAATTGGCATGATTGCAATCGATTCGGATGGTAATATTGCAGCAGGGACATCGACCAATGGGGCACGTTTTAAAATTCCCGGGTAAATTTACGAATATTTCACATTATTATTAATTGAAGGTTAATCATCCTTTTTTTCTTAGACGTGTTGGAGATTCGCCGATTCCAGGTAAAAAAAAGTGGTTTCTTCTTCAATTATATTTTTTTTAATGAATGACAATTTTGAATGACTAGGCTCTGGTGCATATGCGGTGAATGGTGTTGGTGCGGCTGCAGCGACTGGCGATGGTGATGTGATGATGCGATTTTTACCCTCATTTGTGGCTATTGAAAATCTACGTAATGGCAAAACACCAAAGAAAGCCGCTCAATTGGCAATTGAACGTATACGCGAATTTCATCCAAAATTCTTTGGCGGCATCGTTGTGATGAATCATAATGGTGAATATGCTGCCGCCTGCAATGGTATGGATAAATTTCCATTTTCAATTGGATCCAAAGACGTTGGCATTCGTGTAGAATATGTTCCATGTACTTAGTTAGTCCTTGAAAATTAATTATTAAAATTTCAAAAAGAAAAAAAAGCGTTTTTTTTTACATCAAATTTCCCATTTCACAAAAAATATATCTATTGAAAATATCGAGAGGAGAGTATGTTTTTATTCAGACATTACTCAGCCATAAGCGCTGAATAACATACTCTCTTCTCGATATATTTAATAGATATGTCCTCTGTCATTTTCTAACTTCTTCTGAAATGTTCTTTGTCTAAAAGAAGATTGAACACCAATTTTCGTACTTCTTCGCGGTTTGATCGTGTCAGCTGACGTTATCACGTTCAACATATTTTTAGAGATCGTATTTCACATGTAAATTTAAGTAAATAAAAACATTAACAAAACTGCATTTTATTTGATTTTTTCCAATCAGATTCGAAGGTCGGAAAATGTCAAAAACTAATTTTATCCGAAAATGTGATGGTAGTACAAATTTTCATGTACCTTAAAAAAAGAATTGGTACTGTTTTTAGAATTAATAAACTTCTGTACTGCCCTTCCGGCGTATGTTGTAAAGCGGAACTAATTTATTTCCCTCTCGACCAATGGCCATAAGAGCCGAAAATGCAAGGCTATATGGTGGTAATGTCATCATTTTGTGACCAATTCGACTTAACCCGGCAACGTACCTGGAAGCGAGCAAGTGTTCAAGCATGCTCGAGCAAGTAATAAACCTTTTTTGAGCAACCGGAGTAGCAGAGAGTAATTTTTAAAGACTTACTTACTAGCTGCTCGCATTGCTCCAAAAATATGGTCGGGAAATCCTACTTCGGACCAAACTTCCATTGGACTAAGCTGATGATGTATTCGTGGTGCATTAACTACTCGTACAATGGATTCTTTGAAATATAAATACCACAAAAGGACATATGCAACTGAAGTTGGTATTTTTGGGTCTCCGGATGCTCTTCAAATTAATTCAACATTTCGATTTGGATCAAGCAAAATTGTCGGCCTCATGGAAGATAATGGCATCTTTTGTGGTGGAATAAAGTTGGCTGATGAAGGATGCAAGAAATATTCATTCTCTTTCCCATCCGATGAAAAATCGTCAATCACATTATTTAAAATTATTCCAGTTCGAGAAACTAATTTGCATCCAAAACTAGAAGAAATAAAAAAAAAATCACAAAAATATAAACTTGCAAATAGTTGATGTAGCTGCAATTGCATCTCCATTAATGGAGATGCTACAATATTTATATCGGCCGTTCCGTGATCAACTTTGAACGCAAAATCTGCTCCGTAATGCTTGAAATCGTGATACGTTTTAAAATCTTCAATCTTTTGACGAAATTTGGTAGCGAATTCGATCTCGGTTAGATGTTACCGTCTGTTCGTTTGGCAAATAATTATTTAGAACATTCAATATGAATGCAACCAAGGCTCCACTTCCTGGTAATCCTGTTGTATGTAGTGTTTTATTTTCCATCAAATCAATCGAAATTGATTCTTCCCATCGAAAATTGTACTGCATCAAATCTTCGATAGTAACTATGCCACGATTGCTTTGAATATCTTCTACCATTAACCTGCCAACATATCCATTGTTATAAATTGCATTAGCTCCTTCTCTTTTTATAATTTCCAACGAATTAGCCAATTTGGGACATTTAATAAATTCGTCTTCTTTATACACATCGCTTGTTTTTGGGTTGATGAAAATCTCAGACAGAGTTGGTGATGTAAAAATATTGCCCTTTTGTTCTTGTAACACTTGAGACAAATAAAGGGTAACCTTATGGCCTTTGCGACATAATTCGATGACTGGATCGAATAACACTGACCACTTTAATTTTCCATATTTCTGATGCAATTCCCAGTAATCTTTTAGTGCGGTAAAGTTAAGTACAAATAGAAATAAGTTTGTCCATTTCAAAATTATTTCACTGCTTCGATTTACTTCCTGCTATGAACACACTGTGAATAAGCTACAATCTCTTTTCTTCCTTTATTTATATGGTCCTATTAAAAAAAGCACCAGTGAATCGAACCGTTTCTCAACTCAATATTTGCCATAGTGATTATTTATCACTGATTAAGCAACGGCTTCTTACCCATTCAATTATAAATCGTATTATTTGGAATGCCTATCAAATTTCACACTCGACCTTCTTTTCACTTTATTGTTGGTAGAAATTCATATTCGCGTGCACGAGCACACGTTTATGTTTTATAAACATAGCTTTGAAATCAATGCTTTTGTCAATGAATTTTTTTGAATTCAAAATCATCTTCATTATAAGTATTTATCAGGCAATATATTGAATTAACTGGTCAGTTGAGCTGACAGTACGTTAGCCAGCTAAATGGGCTAAAACAATAGACGTTATTGTTTTAATGATGAATCACTTTTCTTGTTTTAATAGAAGTGATTGTTCAGTTAGTTCAATATATTGTCTATAACTCGTGCATTACCTTTCAACGCCTTAAATCAGTCTAATTTCCTAATCAGCCTTCTGATTACCGAAACAACCCAAATCGTAAAAGTTTGAGTTGTGATAAGAAATTTACTTGCTTCGCTTAGCGTGTAACACAATGTATGTAACAGATCATGCATGTAAAATTTTAACAGTGGCATCATTTATTAAGAAATCTATTTATGTTTCTTTGCACGCGTGACACGATGAAAGCATCAATAAACATTTTCAACGAGAAACAATCATGTAATATAAAATAAATGAAACGTTCAAGACGTAAATTATATCACATTTTATAGTAAGTAAGTATCGTTTGGCGATGTTGTTGATACTTATTGAATATGCTGTGTTTCGCTCACAACCTTACCATTCGTCGCCGTCATTGCTTTTGTGATCCACTAAACGCATAGGCCAGTTCCTTGTTTTTCCATCATCAAGCCATCGATTTCAATGAGATATTTAACAATTTTCTCTGTTTTCACGCGATTCAACGGCCGTGTTTCACCAACGATCTTAAAATAGTCGCCGCACAATTCGCTAATTATTGTAATATTTTTTATTTCAATGAGGTATGTTCTTTCTTTTATTCGAATAATATAAAATTACTCGAATAATATATATATATGGAATTACATTTTGGAAGTTCTAGAAAACAGGCCAAATCCTGAAAGTCCACTAATCAGCCAAATTCCACCGGATTTTGATTTTAGGCCAAAATATTAAAATAAATTTGCTTATTTTTGCCGATTTCCCATCGCAAATGCGAGAAAAATCGACCGGAAGTTTTTTTGTAATTTTGACTGCCTTACTGCTGTTTTTCGTGTTTCAGTAGTATTTGCTTCTAGTAACACCAATCGAAATATACTGATGAGAAACTATACTAATAACTATACTAATAAGATACATGCATCTTATTAGTCTTCTGACTAGTAACATTCTAATAACTATACTTATTACTATACTTATTACACTAATAAGATGACATCTTATTACCAGTTATTAGAAATTATTAGTAATAAATAATAAATATCTTACTAGTCTGATGTTATTAGTCCCAACTGTATCATTTTTACCATTTTCTCCTTCTAAAAGACTTTTCACGAAAATCGCTTGAACATTTTTTCTATTAAATATATCGGTAATGTTCGAAAATTCAAAAATCAATTTCGAATATGTAAATGTCATACACACACATGTATGCGTGTGGTTTGATGTATTTTGTCAAAAGTGGTACATTTGACATTTGACATAATCACACTTGTACACACCAAACAAATCAAAACAAACAAAAATCAACGATATTCCATTGTTTTTCATGTTAATTGCCTTGCGGGTGAATGATATAAACATTTATTTTTAAACAATAAAATTGACGAATCGATTTACTGAAATGTTCAGTAAAGAAATTGTGAAATGTTTTAAAAACGTATAAATACATTGATGTGATTTCGTTGTTGTTGATAAATATTTGGCTACGGTACAAGTGAAATTGTAGATTTTTATTCAGATTTGTTTGCGTTCTGTGTGTGTCAAAATGTATTTTTTGTATAATTGACCGAAGTTTTGTTAATTTCAATTTAACAATGATGCCAAAAACACCGTTTGATTTTGGATACAAAATAGCCATTAAGTCCAATGAATGCAAGCTGCTGATGCGAAAACATTCGCTTCCAACATTATATCGACTGTAATTATCGATAAATCAACATTCCATTTTATAGATGATACGAATGAGTTTTGTTTATTTTTTAGATGTATACGTGTCATTGCGCGTAATGTTGAACAGAGCAATCAAGATAACTGGGACCTATCACAATTACCATCGACAATTAAAATTGATCTACTACAATTGAATATGAAATTGTCGATTGGATTTTCAAATGAAAACATATTTATTCAATTATTGACACCAAATGTCACGCAATTAGTGTTTCGATCATCGATCGTTACGGATTCGATGTTAGATTGTATCGGTGAACGTTGTAAATATTTACAAGAATTGCGTATTTTTGACAGTAAAGACAATGGCAAACAGTTGGAAATGTCAACCGATGGCCTAAACAAATGTATTAAGAGATTGAAGTGTGTTAAAGCACTGCAAATTGCCGGATCGGATAAAGTAACTGACAAAACGGTCGAGATGATTAGCCAAAGTTGCCGAAATCTCGAAAGTTTATGGTTAAACGACTGCAAAAATGTGACCGATGACAGTAGCGATTATTTTAAATCAATGCAATTGAACGATTTAAATTTGGCAAATACCGGGGTGAATTAGTTGTAACTCTTTTTTTAGAAAAATGTTGAATTTGACCTTTCATTTCAATTTTAGGTCACAGACAAATGGTTATCGGAACTCGCTAACAGCACTTTGATGGAAAGTTTACGGGATATTTGTCTGAAGAATTGTAAATTGTCACAAGATGGACTTCGAAATCTAAACTGGAATCGATTAGAAAACGTAAACATTATCGGTGTATCGATTCGAGGTAAATTTCAATTTGAATCTTATATGATTAATTTTATTTTGACCCAATTTTTGTGTTTTTGTTTGTCATTCACAGATTTATCGTTCATACCAACAACGGCTAGCTACAAAACGTTAAATTGGTCCGTATGAATCGACATTAAATTATAAAAAAAAAACGTGAAAAACAAACACGAGACTAAAACTACTCAACATTATACGGACAAACATACACCAGCCAAGAGAAACTGGTGAACTATGCGATTTGTGCTAAACAAGAATTTTTTTTTGTAACTTTAAAGACCCAGTTTATTGAACAGTATTTAGGAAAACAACTTGCTCAAATAAGCAATTGGCAATATTAGGAAGTAGAAAAAAAATTCTATCGATTTTTATAGAATTATTCATTTATTTATGCAGACCTATTTTGCAATCGTAGAGATAATTTTGTGTGCTCGTGCATATTTGTTCGATTCTGTGTTAACACAATTTTTATTCACATCGAGATTTTTTTTTTCAGAATTTTACAATCATTTATTGATTGTAGTATAGCATTTTTTATCAAATATATATCTATGTATTTTTTTTTTTGAAAACAATAACAATAAATGAAACATGAAAAATGTTCTTGCTTTTTTATTTGTAATTTAACACATTTTTCTCGGTTAAAATTAAAATTGTACATTTATAAATTTAATGGATAAAGAGCATGCATCTATTTGAAAACTGTTATAAACAGCATTTTTATGGATCGTAAGATTTAATTGGCAATTTTAAAAATAATACACGATGGGATTTTTTCAGCATATTACATGAAATACACCAGATTTCGATGACACTGAAAACAGCAAAATATAACTCCCGTATGCAAAAACATTGAACATTCTTGAGAGAAGTATAGTTTGAATAAAAAAAAAACATTAATACTCTTCGAATAATTTTTATGTCCATGGCATACCAATCTACCCATATAAATCATTTGCGGAGTAATTTGGACGATGGCGGGACTGTGCGGAGTTTGGCGGAGATGACATACAAACTCTGTGTGTGCGAGGGTAACAGCACTTCTATATGTATCATTCTTACGCAGATGATTAGTAACTTAGCTGTGTGAACGGCTACTAAGATGTTCGTTTGGACAAAATAAATCTATGAATAGCAAAGAATGCTGTTGTACTCGTATACACAGCATTTGCATACTATCTCCGCCGAACTCCGCACAGTCCCGCCATCGACAAAATTACTCCGCAAATGAGATATATGGGTATTATTAAGTTTTACAGCAGTATTTGTGACTTTAACGAAAAAAATCGATTCATTGGGATTTTATTTTAATTGAAGATTAAGGGATTTTTCAGCATCGATTACCGTTCATACAAAATTCATAACACATTACAGATTGCTTGATGTATCGCCAAGCCTTAAAAATGTTTTCGATAAGTTTGTTTGTGACATGCTGTATCAGCTACTTGAAACTGTTTTTTTTTTTTTGGATTCTCGAGCCGAATGCACAGATAACATATTTTTCTTTAAATCTGAAGACAGCTAGTTGATGAACTTTTTTGTTTGTTGGTTTGAATTGGAGATGGTCAAAGCGACAAGTTCGAAGAGTGCCAAGAACATAAAGCAGAGTTTTGCTCAGCGTATTAAAATATATTGCTGAGAATGCGTCGTCCATCGCATGCGAAGGTACGTAGCAGTTTTTACATCACAGCGAACAACAATACATGCATTCTTCTCTATACAGTCATTTGAATGTTTTGACTTAAAATTTTGAGTCACATAATCGTGAATGCATTCTTGTTCGCTGTGATGTATAAGCTGCTACGTACATTCGCATGCGACGGACGACGCATTCTCAGCAAGATATTTTAAAATGCTGTGGATGGCAGAAAATATACACGAAATAAAAAGTACTGATGAATCCAACGATGAATGATTTGCTTCTGTCAGCCAATTGGACATTACCACAGTGTATCGAAGTTACAATTGAAGAACGAAAGCACAAATCTGGCCAAATCGAAACAGAGCGACATCGAAAACGAAGCATATGCCATGCATACTAAACAAAACGAGTTGAACAAAGAAAAGGTATCTTCATCAAGACATTTGATGAAGGCGATAAAGATACAAATAAAGTCCGATTCAATGGTAAAGGCTTCAGGTAGCGAAGGCGACAATCTTTAGTGTCGAATAAAAACACACTAATTTTCAATTCAACATTTATTTATTGAAGTATAAAAGAGCACTGAACTGACAAAAGAGCTGTTAATTAATTTATATTTGATAAAAAATGATGAAGATAAAACTATGCTGACAAATGTCAGATATTGAATGGTTCAAAATTGAGATACAATAAATAAAATAGAATTAAGGTTTAAACGTGCTCTAAAATCATTCACTAAATTAAATATTTTATTTCTTTATAAAAATTGCAAACGTGGAGAAATAGAAACGAAAAATAGTTGATAAAAAAATAGTCAACAATTGGAAATATTTTTTTAAACTCCACTCATTTATACATCGATACATCAAGCATTACTTCCAAGTACATTGGCAGTGTATTTTCAACCTATTTAAAAGCTAATATATGACATTTTGGTGCTTCCATGTAAAACAATGGTTTCATTGGATTTTCTCAATGGCCGGCTGACCATTTTTATTATTCAAAAATCACATATTAAAACATAAATTTTATCATTATAAAAAATATAGTCCATCGAAAATTTGGTATCAATTTCATTCGCTTCAAAAAGGTGTTTAATTATGTGACGTTGGCAATGGATTCATAAAACAACTCAATTATAATTATGGAATTCACTGTCAATTCCGCGATTGATATTTATTACAATTTTTTGAATGTAGGAATATTTCTTTACAAAAAATCAAATTAGGCAAAAAAGACAAAAGAATATTTCACAAAATAAATGATAAAATATACTTCATGAGACTGTGTAAATAAATTAACTTATGGTTGAAGGTGCTTATTTATTTCTAATTTCGGTGCGCTCTTATTTATGATTGAATGTTGGAAGATTTCATTACGAATGTCGAAGCACCGGTTGCAATTCTCAATAAAAAAACCGGCAAACTTGTGTCAATACTTACGACTAATGGAGTTCATTCACGGATTCGTTTCGTTTTTTCTGGAATAGTCAAAAGTTCATTTTTAATCCGAAAATTAAATATAACTCACGATTGTTTGATTTTCCATTGAATTGGATGACTATAAAATACTGATGGGCTAAAAGGATCTTATTAATTTAAAATGCAAACAATTAATAAATAGATTTCACGTAAATGCCTTACTCATGCAATATTATGTAAAAAAAAAATTCGTCGTCAGACTTTCTTTCTCATTCACACGCATTCCAAATTTCAACAATCGAAATATTACTTAAAACCCCAAACACTCCAAAGACTGCGTGCATCAATTTAAATTTCGGAATGAAAATCTAATTCAGCCGCACCTTGTGTTTCGACTTCCCGCCAGAGTTCAATTCGGAAGTGTCATCAATCAAAATATTATATAAATTGAAAATGAATTTTATCGACCAGACAGTGTTCAATCATTTAACATTTGTATAAAATTTACAATATCCAATTTATTCATCATGATAATTTAAAAAATAATAAATGACAGCATTTGACTGCACTACACAGCGATTGATTATCGAAAACAGTAGCATCAAAAACAAATTCGTTGATTTTAGTTTTTTTTTTTTAATAATCGTTGATCTGGACTAATGCGAGAGAAAGAGAAAATTGATGGCATGGTGTCAGCGTCCAAGTGTTAATCTGTTAATCGGATTTACAGTGATCACAACTTTATGACGATGTCTTATATATATATATAACGTAATTTAATGAATTCCTCAAATTTGTTCGACATTTGTAATATTCTTTGATGTTATGTGCATGTCAGCTCAATGTTTGGCATTTCATTTTGGCAAAAGACTGTGCGATTTGTTTCAATTCTCTTTTGAACACATACTTAAAAGAAAAAGATCGCATATGATAACGATAGCATAAAATGGCGTTGTTTTGGTATGAAAACGGTGTGGTATGTGCATTTGAAATGCCATAAAAGCATAAGTAGTAATTATTAGGTCGTAAACGAAATCGAATGAAAAAAACACTAACAACAACAGCAGCGGCATCGTTAAGAATGCGACAAAATATGTGGAAATTGACGTTGATGCGCAATACGAAGACAGAAAGCGGGTTCGCTGCCTGAATCTTTCAATAAAAAGTAACAGCATCTCCACATCGTCGTGACCGAAATGCACAAACATTGAATACCGGTTTTACGAGTCGTCGTCGCATTTTCTTTTCCTTCCATCATCATATTGGTAAGAAATAAACAATTTTGCTTGCGGGTTACATAACAGCGGTGTGTCCAAGACTCTAACGATGTTTTAATTAATTGTGAATTTTATGGACCAAACGAACACCATCCACATTGACTATTTATCACTTTTTGACTGTTTTCTAACAATCAATCAATTCGCCCGTTGAATGAATCTAAATCCATCAAAATGAAAACCATTTCTTTTCTTTACTGCTCATTACGTTCGGCAGCAGATCATAATGAACGTCATTTCTTTTCATTCTTTCTCTTTTCAATATTTAGATGTCATGGTGTAATTGTCTACTGTAAGTTGGTCGCGTTAACAATTTTTTTTTATTATTTGCCATTGGTCCGTCGGCGTTAATTCAATAATAAAAATGTATGTGTGTACAACGAACGATGCTGAGCACTTTGGGTATTTTTTTGCGGTTTACCCGCACTACGATTTGTGTTAATGAACTCATGAGTGCGTTAAAAATATATGTTTGCATAACATCAAAACGTTTTTTTTTTTTAGTCGAACGCCGACCAGACCAATCAATATCTCATCTCACCGAAAATATGCGTATGTACTTTAGTGTCGTCGATTCCAGCTTATTCGTTTTCAATCTTGCTTACGAAAAAAAAAAAAAAACATGAATAATAAAATTTAATGAAAAAAACCGTTATCAAATCGCTCGTTCTTTGACCATTTCTTTTCCACTTCTGACTGTGTATTTATCTTTTATTGTTGACATAAATGCGTATCGTTTTTTTTTCTAAACAACTTTTTTTGGCCTTCAAAATTTTACAACAGCTCAAATCAGCTATAATGGGCAATTTTCAATGTC